CCATCACCCATGTTATTAGCCAGGTCCCTTTCTCCCTGCCTCTGGTGCCTCACGGTCCTTGATCTCCTCTGGGAAGATGTGGGCCACTGCTCATGTTTGAGAAAAGATCAAGGAATTTGTGGGGTTGGATTTTGTGTGCCGGCCAGCATTCAGTTAGCTGAGAACAGAAGATATATTGTCCTGCTAAAGCCCTCCAGGTACCCACCTGCCTTACGCCAGCAGGATGCATCTCGGCTGCACCTGGATAAGTCCTCTTTAAGTCAGGCAGGATTAGAGAGTCCTGCCAGAGTCCATTTACCACTCCTCTTTTCAGAAGTTGCAATGGCTGATTTTCTTCGTGACTTCTCCCAGCCCATTGAGGCTGGGGAGGTCACTGCTTTTGAGAGCTCTACTCTAGAAAGTGGGTAAGAGGGTGGTGGGGTAGGAGGAGGACAGGACACTACCCACCTAGAAAGTCATCTCCTTTTTAGGTCACTTTCAGTCCCCATCACAGGATGAAGAAAGTCTCATTTGGTGCTAATAGCCTTTAATGCTGCTCTAATATTTGCTAGTCTTCCTTCCTATCAAACAGCAAGCAGACTTCAGGCTCATAGGTAACTATATTTAATTAGAATCTAATGAAATTTTTGTGCTTATATTGTATTTATATCTTCTTTATGTTTGTGACAGGTGATAATGAATTTTCATTTAAGATAGTGCAATACCATGTATTTTATTTAAGTGAAAAAGGTAAGCAAGTCTCTTGAAAATAAGGGTCACAGGGATATGACAAATTTCCTAAAGATAGTATTTAGAGGACTAATTTTGTGAAAGAGTAATTCTTCCACTTACTAGCAGTCTGTTTTCTGGTGACTTCTTGGAATCAGCTTTCTTATTTATTAAATGGAAATGGTAATAGTGCTTTCTAGGACTCTTGTGAAGATTTAATAATAATGGCAAGTTATTATTATTAATATGTATTGAGTTTCTTCTATGTATCACACCTGGAACTCTAACAAGCTCTCTAATTCCAAAAAGCCATTGGCTGAACAATGACACCATGTTGAATAAAATGAGGTCAGTAAATTCTTCCGTTATCACCACCACTATCATCATCACTACCATATCACCATCATCTCAATCATTATCACCATTATGATCATCACCATCATCACCATCACCACCATTATCACCATCACTATCATCACAGTCACTATCATCTCCATCACCATCACCATTATCACCAACATCAACATCAACATCACTGTCACCATCATCAGCATCACCATCACTGTCACTATCATCATCATCATTACTGTTACCATCATCACCATCACTGTCGTCATCATCACTGTCACCATCATCACCATCACCATCATCACCATCACCATCACTGTCGTCACCATCACTGTCACCATCATCACCATCATCAGCATCACCATCACTGTCATCACCATCACTGTCACCACCACCACCTCCACCATCATCACCACCACCGTCATCACTACCACCATCACCACCATCATCATCACTGTCACCCTTGTCAGGATCTGCTTCTGACACCACTTGTCAGGGCCCGGGACTGGCCAGGTCTCAGGCCCAGTTTAGGTAGGTTCCAGATGGGGAGCGCTAAGCTACCTCACTCAGGAACAGTTTCTCTTAGGTGCTTAAGGGCTATGAGAGAGAGTGTATGTGTCTTAGAGAGAGTAAAGCAGTCTTCTTAGAACAGATAGATCTTAGTCTTCAGCAGAGCTTGGTAAACTTCAGCAGAGAGATGCCGTGCTGGCGTTCTGCAGGCAGAAGAGGAGACAGAGTTAGAGTAAGTATGTCCGTGATAGAATGTACGTGCTTTTTGACTGCCTTCTCCTCCAGCCTAATATAAGGCTGAGCTCATGCCTCTCAACACCACAGGTGTAGAGACTACCAATCCACCAATGCTCTCATCTCGCGAGCTCTCTCATGCTTGTTAGAACTAAATCCCTCTCCATGCCCTTTTCACCAAGGTGTTCCATTCCAGTTATTTCCTATAACTCACTCCTCCTAGCCATAGGCTATACAGGCTGCTACACACCATCACCACCACCACCATCATCACCATCACCGTCACCATCATTACTGTCTCCGTCATTACTGTCTCCGTCATCACCATCATCACCATCACTGTCACCATCATTACTGTCTCCGTCATTACTGTCTCCATCATTACCATCATCACCATCACCGTCACCATCATTACTGTCTCCATCATTACTGTCTCCGTCATCACCATCATCAGCATCACCATCACCATCATTACTGTCTCCGTCATTACTGTCTCCGTCATCACCATCATCAGCATCACCATCACCATCATTACTGTCTCCGTCATTACTGTCTCCGTCATCACCATCATCACCATCACCGTCACCATCATTACTGTCTCCGTCATTACTGTCTCTGTCATCACCATCAGCAGCATCACCGTCACCATCATCACCATCATCCTCACCATTCTTACCCTCAATGCCATCACCACAATCACAATCGTCTTCTCTATCAGTTTTGAAAGTTGCAGAACACTTTTTTATTAGCCACGTTACCTCTTTGAGTCTTAGTTTAGTCATCTGTAAAATGGGGCTAGTTTATAAAATAAGGTTAATAACACGATGCTCTTGTGATGACCAGTGCTGAGTAACTGGCACCCAGGTGAACACTGATAGGCAGTGGCTAAGTCCTACTCTCAGTGACTGGGGCCCATAGCTTCTCCTCCTTAGGTGGCGTCATAGTCCCAGATAAAATCCTTTTCCAAATTTCTAATTTTGCCATAAGACAGACTGATCTTTTAAGATGTCTGCTTGAAGATTGCTGCACAATCTCTTTCTGAAGGATTGATAAGTCCTGTTGGTAGCTGTTATTCTTACTTCAAAGAAGGAAACATATATGGGAAGATAAGAGATAGGAGAAAGTTTCTTTTTATTTTTTAATTTCATTTTTTAAAAATTGACATATATTGTATTTTATATATATATATGGGTTACATATCAAGGTAAAGCAAATCCATTGTCTCAAACATTTGCCAAACCTTTGTGTTGGGAGCATTTAATAGCCTCCTTCTAGCTATTTGAAACTCTATCATATATTACTGTTAACTACAGTCATCTCACAGAGTTATAGAATGCCAGAATTTATCCCTCCTATCTAGCTGTAATTTTGTATCCTTTAACAAATCGCTCCCTACCCCCTCTTTCCCCTGCCCTTCCCAGCCTCTAGTATCCTCTGTTCTACTTTTGCTCCACATATGAGTGAGAACAGGTAGTGTTTGCCTTTCTTTTTCTGGCTTATTTCACTTGACGTATGTCCTTCAGTTCCACCCCCGTTCCTGTGCATAACAGGACTTCATTCTTTTATATGGGGCTGAGTATTGTTCCATGGTGCACAGACATCACGTTTTCTTCATCCATTCATCCTCTGTTGGACACCTTTGTCGATTCTATATCTTGGCTATTGTGAACAGTGCAGCAATAAACATGGGGGAAACGTGTTTCTTCGAAATACTATTACCTTTTGCCTTGGGTAAATGCCCAGTGGTGACTAGGCATCCCAGGTAGTTCTACTTACAGTGTTTTGAGGAGACTTCCACACTGTTCTTCATTGTGGCTGAATCAGTTTACATTTCCACCAATGATCCCCTTTGTTCCACGTCCTCACCAGTATTTGTTATTTATTTTTTAATAGTAGCCATCCTAACTGGAGTGAGCTGATACCTCAATGTGGTTTGGATTGACTTTTCCCTGATAATTAGTGATGTTGAACGTTTTTTCATGTTGGCAAAATGTTTTAAGGATGGCACTGTTGTTTCCATAAATCCTTCATTTTTGTTTGGATTACAAAAATTAGTACTCAACCACTGTAGAAAATTTGGAAAATACAGTATCCCTTTACCTGGCTGTAATGGTTAATAGTTACCTTTTTATTCTATTTCACAGCAGTTTGGATGATTCACACGGCTCACATCACAGTTTGCTGTGGTTTTCTAGTCTGATTTTCACTTAACATTCCATGGTGAGCATTGTCTGTGGTGTACGAAGCCTTGGTTGCTAATTTTAAACGGCCTTAGAATAGTGCACAGGGAGGCCGCCTCTTGCTGCTTCTTCCCTGTCTAGTTCCTTCCTCCACCCCATTTCATTCTGGCCACACAGGCATTTCTTTCAACATAGCACACTCATTTCTGCTGCACAGCCTTGCACTGCCTCTCTCTTCAACCTCAAAAGCACTTTCCTGCCACTTTCTGTGGCCAGTGTCCTGTCATCTTTGCTAATCCAGTTAGAATACCATGTCTTCAAGTAGAGCCCTCCCTGACCATGTTAGAAACATAACCACTCCTTCAGTCTCTCTTCATGTCATCACTTTGCTTTCATTTCTCTTTGGTCAGGGGGAAGGGGAGGCTTCATAATTTCATCTCCTGAAATTATCCTACTGATCTGTTTGTCTCCTTGTTTGTGGTCTCACTCCCTCAATAGACCACGAGGTCCGTGAAGGTAGGCACCTTGTTTGTGTTGCTCATTGATTTCCCAGCAGCTGACACTGTGCCTGTCACATAGTGGGAACTCAGTAAACAGTGACTATGTGGATGGCTGGCTAAATGGTTGCATGTAAGACTGGGGGACAAGTTGAAGGGGCAGTGAGGAGGATGGTGGAGAGAGTGAATGGGTGGTGGGACGGACAAATGGCCACGTGGGTAAGTCAATCATGCTTTCCCTCACCATGCCTCAGAGCTTCCCTAGGAGATTTTTAATTGTGTTGGAAAGTGAGCAATGCAAATGATGAGGAAGCAGGATAAATAAGCCTCTTGGGAAACCTGACCTCTGCCCAGGGACATTCCCTTAGGTGCCCAGGCCTGAGTAGTTGTCCAGAATCCTTGTTGTGTGTTGGGAGTGGCCTGGAGATTGGCTGGACAGCGAGATTCTCCAAGATCCTCTTGGTGTCCATGTGCCCCATTCCCAGGGCCTCCCAGCCACATCCGTGCTTTCTCCCTTGCACAGTGGGCCGGAAGCAGTTCATGCGGTTTGAGTGGGCAAACCACGCGGCCGAGGCCCTGGGCTGTGAGTATGAGGAGCTGAACACATCCACCTTCAAGCACCACCTGCGGCAGATCATCCAGCAAGTGACGTTTGGCTCAGGCAGACGGGGTCTCGAGGAGGAGGAGACTGGCTCAGGTACTGCACAGCAGCCTCTCTGGCGGGGCTGGGTCCCCTCTCGGTGTGTTGGCATCCCTTTCACTCATTCAGCAGGATTTGTTGAGGGTCTGCTCTAGGCAGGCCTGTCCCAGATGCAAGGGAAGGCACTGCGGGTGGAAGTGGACATGGCTCCCACCTGCAGAGCACTAGTACTCTCTGGCCACTATGGCTGCAGAAATCTGAGAGGGAGCCCTGTACTCTGGAGAGGGGACAGCGCAGGGAGGGCCAAGAAATCCTTGTGGTTTCAGTTCATGTTTGTAGGGGTAAGACTGACCTTTCTGATGGAGGAGCAGAAATAAGGCCAGGACGGCTGACGTGGGGTGGGATGAGGATGGAGTGTGCGGTGGGTGGTCAGCTCATGAGACTTGTAAATCAGAACTTTTATTCTTAGACTGGTGGGAGGCCACGTGGTAGCTTCAGCAGGGCATGAAATGCTTGACTTTCAGAAGCTCAGCCTGTAGGAAGTTGGGGAGTAATTGGGGGTAGGACCGTTGTTGGGAACCCAGAAAAGTCACCAGCTGACGGTGGTAGTGGTTACTAGGGAAGAGTGATGGAGATGCGGTGAGGTGAACAGATTCAGAGTCTGCGTTAAAATGTTGGGGAGAGCATGGGCGCTAAGGGCAGCTGAGAGGTCAGGGTGGCTGCCAGGATTTCAGCCTGAGCAACTGGAGGAATGAGGATGATTTGATCTGATCTGAGGAAAAGCAGGAAGACTCAGCACAGAGGGGTGGGGTCTGCTGAGCCTTGAGAACTTTCCAAGAACAGTCCTCAAGGGAGCAGAGTTTGGGATTAGTGAGTAGGACTGTTTAAGTTATGGCATCTGGGGACCATCTCTCAGAGCTTTTTGGGATCCTTGGAGCGGCCTCCACCTTCCAGGGACATCGGTGTGATGGCTGGTGTCACATGGACACCACGGGCCTCTGTGTCTCCTTCAGGGTCTGTGCTCCAGGGTGAACCCAGTCTGCTGGAAGGTCCCTTCTCCTCTCTGACCCACACATAATGTGGGGTACATGCACATGTAGACTACACACACATGCACAGCCAGGCATGTGCACAGACACACACACATGCACAGACACATATCTGGACATAAGCACACATATAGACACACAAGCACGTGTATAAGAATGTGCACACCACACACAGGCCCACGCACACGCATCGCTTTGTGAGTCTGAGTTAACCTCTCAGGCTGACGTCTCCACGGTAGACATTCAGCAGGCAGGGGACCTTCTGGGCTTAGCAGAGATGCTGGGAGGGTAAGCGTTGCCTAGCAACAGGCGGGGTTGGGGTGGAGTTAAAGGTGAGGAGAGAAAGGCTTTCAGGGCCTCAGCGGGCTGCCTGGAACGTGCTAGCAGAACTGCATCTCCAGGCCTGGTGCGAGCCAGTTTGGAAGCTGTGTCTCCAATTCTGTGCATGGAACCAAAACTTAAAGGCCAGGATTTGTAGTCTGACCTTGCCCCCACTCTTCTCTCTGCTTTGTTTAATGCACCCTCATCAAGGCCAGCTATTTTAATAGGACACATGTGTATTTCTGTGTGTGTTTAAATGAAATCGAGACCATCGCTGTAATTATAGTTTTGTAAGCTGTTATAGTTCTAAAATTATAGGTAGGCATTTTTCCAATCCTGTTCAATATTCTTCATACCTGATTTTGAGCATTCCTTTGCAAGGATGCGGACCACAAATTATCTAACCCATTTGCTGTTGTTGGACATTCAAGTCATTTTTAAGAAGTGATTTTCACCAAAGTACTCAACAATTGGGAGAACCTATGTCTCCAGAAATCTTTGTTTCCCTGAATGTTTTGTTAGAACAAATGCCTAGGAGTGAAATTATTAAGTCCCAGTATATGAACATTTTATGGCTTCTAATACAAAATTTCCAAATTTCCCCCCAGCAAAAGAGAGCAAAGGACATTTATTGAGTGCCTACTATGTGTACAAAAAATCCCAGAGTCAGTCTCCATCTTCAGGGCACTCACTCTCAGGCTCATGAGGGGTCACCGGTTAGTAAAATAACCTCACTACTAAAGATCATGCTATGGTCAAGTGCTACGGAAGCCAGGGACAGCTGAGAAGTGGCCTCACGGTGGCAGTAGTCATGGAGGGCTTCTGTGAAGAGGTGGCATTTGAGCTGAGCCCTGAGAGAGGGGCAGGGGAGCACTTTGGATAGGAGGTAGGGCCACGGTACACCGGCCCCTACAGGCCTGATAAGACATTTGGATTTTTACCCTGAGAACCTAGGTATGTAATTTCAGGAGTGGAGGGACCTGGCAGGAAGGGGGAGATTTTCTAAGCTGTGTGGCACCTGAGACTCTGTAGTAAAGTCCTTAAATCAGTGGCTTTCAACCTTTCTAATGCCACAGCCCTTTAATACAGTTCCTGTTGGTCACGACCCCCAGGTTGAGAACATCTGCCTTAAATGCTTGCCAGGTCTTAACCAGGGATCACGATCCTTTCCTCTTTATGACTCCAGGGCTCAAGATGACAGGCGTGGAGTGTGTGGAGGGAATGGCCTCGGGCCTGTACCAAGAGCTGTTCGCTGCTGTGGTCTCACTCATCAACAGGTAACCAGTGTTTTTCTTCTAGCCACAGAGTGGGCCTCGCAGAACCACGACTAAGCCGGAACACCGGGCAGTTCAGCAGGGGAGCCCAAAGGCTGTGTGACTTGGGCAAATCAGCCCATCTCTCCGAACTCCCTTTCTACATCCGTAAATAACTCCTTCCCTCAGGGTTGTTGTGATGATTAAAAGAAATAATGAATTTAAATAAATCTTTGCAATAGTGAGTGCAAAAATACCGACAATAAAAGCTAATGACTTTCAGACACCTAGCAGGGGCCAGGGACTGCACTAATTGTTGAGAGTTCCTTGTATCATTTAATACTCCCAGTTGCTAGGATGCAAACCTGGGTTTGCACTCTCATCTGGTACCTTTGGTTGTCCCTGAATAACTCAGCACATTGCTCTTACCTGTATCTTTTTGTAAAGTTTCTCACTGGGAATGGGGCACAACACTGCAGAAGTTTTGAATGGGCCAGAAGGTTCCTCTGAAGTTCATTTGCGAGGCTGCAGGCACCGGAGCATTTGTTTTCCATCACTAAGAGCAATGCACCAACCCCATCCTTGGAAACCCTCTATGCAGTTTCAGCAGCACTAATCCAGAGTGCAGGCAAAGGCTTCCCTCCCTCCCCAGTGAAAATGGAAAGCACAATTAGGCTTCTGAAATCCTGTTAAAAGGGAGAGGCTGGGCAGTGCCTGTGGTTCAGTAAGTAGGGCGCCGACCCCATATACCAAGGATGGCGGGTTCGAACCTGGCCCCGGCCAAACTGCAAGGACAACAAAAAAAAATCCAGGCACTGTGGTGGGCACCTGTAGTCCCAACTACTTGAGAGGCTGAGGCAAGAGAATCGCCTACGCCCAGGAGTTGGAGGTTGCTGTGAGCTGTGACACTACAGCACTCTACTGAGGGCGATAAAGTGAGACTCTGTCTCTAAAAAAAAAAAGAAAAAAAGGAAGAGACTGGTGCATAGCAACAGAGCAATGGGTTTCCCCAAGTTGTGGCGGACACAGAATAAACTCCCTCTGTTGCTGCTACAGTAGATACCGTCTGAGACCATAGATACGTTATCTCTACCTGAGGGATACCAGGAGGGAGTACTGGGAGTGGAGAGTGAACTGTTGGCAGAGAAAGCTGCCCAAGCCGGTGAATGGGCCTCTACTTCATAGTTTGTGTTCTTGGAACCCACATCTGTAAAATGGGTGTATTCATGATAACGACACCCACTATAGCATTTGTGAGCACCTAGAGAACATGTGGCTTCCCCAGAATGAACTGGCTTCATCGTCGTGTGTGCCCATGTGGTAGCCGCTGTTACTGACCCTATTTTATAGGTGGAAAATTTCCACAAGCAACAGAGAAGAGCCCCAGTTCAGGGTTAAGGCCCTTCAGAGCTGACAGCTGATGATGATAATGGTGGTAACAGCAGAGACATTTACTGAG